GTAGTTTGTTTATTTAGACAGCACTGTAGTGCACCAGTTCACCAAACTTCATTTTGCCTGCAGCATTTGATCTTGGAACACATCTGTTGGTGATGATAGAACATTTGTGTTGTAAAAACACTAGCTTCAAGAAGTACAGAGCCATGTGTGCTCATTTTGCAGGGGACTACACAGGACATTAAAGTAAAAAAATAACCTTTCCATTTTTAAGCACATTATATTATTATATTATATATTATTACATTATATATTACTAACCTTTATAGGTAAAGTTGATCCAGGGACAGGGGCGGACTGACCATCCAGGGGCGGACTGACCATTTGGAAACTCGGGCACTGCCCGAGGGCCTGGGGTCAGTAGGGGGCCCCATGAGATGCCCCTGGTACCTTTTTCATAGGCTTTTTTGAGTTTGGGCAAGGACACAGGGGCCCCATGATCCCCTATTGCCCGGGGCCCCCATGAGTTGTGAGTCCGCCCCTGTGCAGGGAACATCCGATTGCCTCTTGGGGATCAGGAAAGTATTTTTTCCCCCTGGAGGAGCAAAATTGGATCATGCTTTGCTGGGTTTTTTGCCTTCCTCTGAATCAACTGTGAGTGTAGGATTACAACTTTTTTTTTTATGGTTGAACTGGATGGACATAGTTAGCCAGCCAATAATGTAATATAATTTATATGAAAACCTTGAGATGGGCGTTGGTGCTTCAATGTGCATGTGAGCAGTCATGTATTTGGGATCTTTTAATGTAAATCTGCAATTGCATTACTGGGTCTGAAAATTCTGCTGCATCCTTATTCACACTTGCAGAATGCTTTTCACTAATGCTCTCTAATTCATGTGGCTGCTATGACAATGTGCAACTAGGTGGATTAGATTGACTGGTCCTTCCAATATAGCAACAACAAACATGAAATACTGATCAAAATCAATGATTGGGTCATAAAATATTCACTTCTAATCAATGACAAGGGGAGGTCTTATTTTTTTTCTCTGCAAAACAATGGTATATCCAAAGAACATATTTTGACAAGATTGAAGAGGGAAGTTGTGCAGAGTGGTCTTTGTTAGAGGAATGGCCCAGAAATATATAACAAGACTGAAGAAAGCATGGGGTCTACTAGTGCCTTATTCCCTAATGAAAGAACCTCACAGTATAAGGAATATCTTGGCAAAAGGATGACTTTGAAAAATTGAGCAGTTTTCCTACATTAAAAGAGAAGTGTGAGAAGTCTGAGCGCTGGGCGGTAGAGGAGGAGGGAACGGCTGGCTCAGGCTCTCAGTGGCTCACTAAGAGGCTGAGCAAGGTACTGCTCCAGACTCTGGGGTGGATCCCAACTTTGAAGTTGGGTTCTTTCCTCAGCCTGGACCCACTGAGTGACATCAGCTGACAGTGGACTTCAGCCCGCTGTCGGTTAAAAATGGGTCACAGGAGTACAGAATGAACTGCACTACCATGATCCACAGGAGTACAACCAAAAGAGCTTTGGCTGTACTTCTCCTTTAAGCTGTTTAGAGAGCTTTGAAAAAATAATCTGAGGGGCATTAAAAACTTTATTCAAATAACTGATGATAATTTCACTACTGCTGCTTGATGCTAAATGGACATGTTTAACCTTTCTGTCAGGTTAGCAGTATTGATGATAGCAAAACAGTTCAGAAGTGCTACATATTGTGAACTGGGGGTGTTTAGCTCTCGTGGTAGGTGCATCTGTCAAGTGTGTCCATGTCAGTCAGCACTTTGGTTTAAGGGCGTGACAGCCCATTTTTATTAAAAAGAAGCAGAAAATCTCATACAACAGAAAGTTTCCCATGCAGGGATTCCTCTTCAGTGAAATACAAACAACATAAAACACTGAGCCACCTGGCTCTCAGGGCTCACTCAGCCTTGGCTGCAGTACCCTGATGCACAGGCTCACTCTTAGCATCTAGCTAGGGGTTCTACTGATACCCCAGGCTCTCTCACTCCTCCAAGTCTCGCAAATTCCTCTGGCACCCTAGGCTCTCTCCCAGTTGCCTCAGCTCTAGTCTTCAAATTCTCAAGTCTCCCAGACTCTCAGCTGGCCCAACTCTCTCTGGTCCAATGACCTGGAACCTCTCCCACAGAGTGTGCTGTGTCAAGTAGATTGCCTTAGCCTCTAGACAGGAGTACACCCATGGGTGTATTTGCAGCAAGGCAAACAAGGCACTTGCCTAGGGCGGCACTTTTCAAGGGGACCTCGGCAAGTGATGTCGCTACAGCAGAGGAATCCAGTGAGGAGTGGCTGTATCAGGCCTCCCCTGGACACTGCTGTCCTCCGGGATCATCTCTCAGTTCTGGCTTCTCACCGCCATCCACTGCGGAGAGCTCTGGGAGCTCCGGCACTCAGAGCAGCCTACAGCCTGGCCGGGCGCACTGCATACTGGGAGTTGTAGTCTTTCCCCCTCCTCCGACCTGCTGTCTCCACAGGAGCGAACTACAATCCTGGCAGGGTGTACGGGGGAAGGACTACAACTCCCAGCATCCAGTGCATCCGGCCAGGCTGTAGGCTGCTCTGAGGGTCGGAGCTCTCCACAGCGGATGGCGGTGAGGAGTTAGGGCTGAGTGATGATCCTGGAGGACGGCAGTGTCCAGCGGAGGCAGGGATCTCTGTCACAGAGAGGGAAGGGAAATGCGGCTGTGAGGAGGATACATACCGGCAGTACATGGCTCCCCCCCTCGGTCTCCACCCCTCCACCAGGCCTGGTGAGTGATCTCCATCCTGCTACTCTGTATACCATATATACTATTGTGGGGGGGCTGAGAGCTGACAGAGACTGACCAGAGAGAGATTGCCAGGTGACTGACTCATACCACTAACTGACACCTTCTGGCCACTCATACCACTTACTGACAACTTCTAACCACTCATACCACTAACTGACACATTCACATCATTCTTACCACTATCTGACACCTTCACACCGCTCATACCACTAACTGACACCTTCACACCGTTCATACCACTAACTGACACCTTCACACCGCTCATACCACTATCTGACACCTTCACACCGCTCATACCACTAACTGACACCTTCACACCGCTCATACCACTAACTGACACCTTCACACCGTTCATACCACTAACTGACACCTTCACGCCGCTCATACCACTAACTGACACCTTCTCACCACTCATAACACTAACTGACACCTTCATGCCACTCATACCACTAACTGACACCTTCTTGCTGCTCATACCACTAGCTGACACCGTCTCGTCGCTCATACCACTAACAACAACTTCTAGCCGCTCATACCACTAACTGATACCTTCTAGCCGCTCATACCACTGACTGACACCTTCTAGCCACTCATACCACTAACGACACCTTCTAGCCGCTCATACCACTGACTGACACCTTCTAGCCACTCATACCACTAACGACACCTTCTAGCCGCTCATACCACTAACTGACACCTTCTCGTTGCTCATACCACTAAATGACACCTTCACGCCGCTCATACCACTAACTGACACCTTCTAGCTGATCATACTACTAATGACACCTTCTCGCCGCTCATACCACTAACTGACACCTTCACACGCCGCTCATACCACTAACTGACACCTTCTAACCGCTCATACCACTAATGACACCTTCTCGCCACTCATACCATTAATGACATCTTCTCGCCACTCATACCACTAACTGACACCTTCTCGCCGCTCATACCAATGACTGACACCTTCTAGCCGCTCATACCACTAACTGACACCTTCTAGCCGCTCATACCACTAATGACACGTTCTCACAACTCATACCACTAATGACACCTTCTCGCCACTCATACCACTAACTGACACTTTCTCGCCGCTCGTACCACTAACTGACACCTTCTAACCGCTCATACCACCAATTGACACCTTCTAGCTTCTCATACCACTAACTGACACCTTCTAGCAGCTCATACCACTAACTGACACCTTCTCGCCGTTCATACCACTAATGACACCTTCTCACCACTCATACCACTAATGACACCTTCTCACCACTCATACCACTATTGACACCTTCTCACCACTCATACCACTAATGACACCTTCTCACCACTCATACCACTATTGACACCTTCTCGCCACTCATACCACTATTGACACCTTCTCACCACTCATACCACTAATGACACCTTCTCACCACTCATCATACCACTAATGACACCTTCTCACCACTCATACCACTAATGACACCTTCTCACCACTCATACCACTAATGACACCTTCTCACCACTCATACCACTATTGACACCTTCTCACCACCATCATACCACTAATGACACCTTCTCGCCACTCATACCACTATTGACACCTTCTCACCACTCATACCACTATTTACACCTTCTCGCCGCTCATACCACTATTGACATCTTACACACTACCCTTATGTAGCCTCCCTAGCGGTCTGATTATGTCAGTATTTCTCTGCTCAAAGCGGCTCTTTTTTTGCATGGAAATATGTATTTTTTTTATTGTAGTCCTGTAATTTTTTAGGAATAACTCACTGAAATCTGTCCGAACAACAGTCTAGTAAACATCCCGGGCATGTTAAAATTTGAAACAAGAAATCATAAATTAGAATTTAATAAATAATCATAAAAAATAATAATATAATAATAATAAAATTTAATTCAATAATATAATCAAACCAAAAACACTGAAATTTGAAATATAGCGTCAAGTTTGCACATCACTGAGCAAAGTCACAAAATAGTTTTCAGTGTCTGATGACGAATTTCCCCACGAATCATTATCACTCAATTCTGCAAGTGGTTCTAATTTACTATCGCTGTTCTCTAGCTGGTCTAAAACCACTTTTGACCTAAAGGGACGCTTTTTGGACACCATGGACATTTCTCAGTTTCCAGGCAGAAAGAACAGTAACAATGTAGGCAAGGCACAGGACAAAGCACTCGGGACAAAATGTATGTGAAATGCTTTGATACAGTAATGTTTTACTATGTGATTTTAGTGTATTTAGTGAATGTCACTTTTTTACATTTTTAAATTTCCCGCTATTCCATCCCCGTACGTCCTGACGTCGCAGGGAACAGAACACAGAAGACAGATGCCAGCATCGGCCGGAGGAGATGGTCGGGGACACTGCAGGGGGGACATTGCGGGAGCGCAGGACAAGGTAAGTGCAGAAGGGATCCCGGATGTGCTGCGCTATACCTAACCCCTAACTCACTGTGTAAAAGAAATATAAATCAGCAAAAAAAGTAAACATCCAACAGAGTCTCCGACCATAAGATGAATGACCCTCAGTGAATCAATAAGTGATTCTAAGCCCTATCCTCATAGAGGATAAGATCTACTCCTAACCATAGTGTAGAGTGACACAAAATAAAATAAATAAAGTAAATAAAGTGACACAAAAGAAAATAAGGTGTAGTAAAGTAAACACCCGGGCACACCTAGGGCAGGGGTGTCCAAACTTTCCAAACAAAGGGCCAGTTTACTGTCCTTCAGACTTTAGGGGGGCTGGACTGTGGCCAGTGGGAATAGAAAATATCCTGGCATTAGTGGGAGTAAACAATGCCTCATCATTGTTATTAATGGGAGTTGCATTGCCCCATCACTGGTATCAATGGAAGAAATAGTTTCCCATTGTTGGTGTCAGCGGGAGAAATAGTGTCGCATTGTTGGCCTCAGTGGGAGGAATAGTGCCCCATCATTGGTATCAGTGGGAGGAATAGTGCCCCATCATTGGTGTCAGTAGGAGGAATAGTGCCCTATCATTGGTTTCAGTGGGATGAATAATGCCCCATTTTTGGCATCAGTGGAAGGAACAGTGCCCCATCATTGGTGTCAGTGGGAGGAATAGTGCCCTAACATTAGTGTCAGTAGGAGGAGTAGTGCCTATCATTGGTGTCAGTGGGAGGAATAATGCCCCATTATTGTTGTCATTGGAAATAATAGTGTCCCATCATTGGTGTCAGTGGGAGGAATAATGCCCCATTATTGGTGTTAGTGGAAGGAATAGTGCCCCATTGTTGGTCTCAGTTTTGGGAACTATGCTCCACTGTTGCTGATGGTGGGGGGAATAATGCCCCAAGGGCAGGATAAAAGCAAGCAAAGGGCTGCAGTTTAGAGACCACTGCCCTAGGGAGTATAAAAAACACTACAAATCAAGCCACTAAACACATGACAAGCGTGATATTAAATCACACATTAATAAATAATATTAAGTGAAATGGCAACAATAAAGTTCATAAGTAACAGTCCACAATGACGGTAAGTCCACAATATGTAATTCAATGAATCTTCCCCTTTGATGTGCTGTGATATCCACCACCACCAGGCATGAACGATCACCTCCACAAGTTGACCCACATCACATAGGTCAGACTAGGCATAACTCCAATTCCTCATTCCTCCATGCATCCTGGCCGCTGGAAACTCCACATCATTGGGACCACAGAGTATAATGTTCAAATTTGCAATAAAAGAAAGGGGCTCCTCATAGTGCAGTAGTGTTAAATTTATTAAAAACTCTCCAAAAATGCAAAGAGTGCACTCACACAAGGTAAAAGTGCTATTCACCCTCAAACAGCATGGACAAAGATAAATAAAGATGGGTTAGTTATAGCGCAGCACTATCTATTTTATTTTATTTAAATGAACACATTGCAATAAACACAGAGGGAAAAAAAATTTTGCCCTCAGTTTGAAAAGGGCACAAATGAGAATGACGGTGAATTTTACAAAAATTATCAATCTCTAAAAATTTAAATGGTATAGCATTCATCTACATGAGCATTTGATATTTCCACAATTATTATTATGATTATTATACAGGATTTAATTATAACACCAGCAGTTTGCACAGCGCTTTACAACATGGAGGCAGACAATACAGTTACAATACAGGAGGATTCAGAGGGCTCTGCTTATTAGAGCTTATAATCTAAAAGGGAGGGTAAAAGTGATACAAAGGTAATAACTGTGATGGATGCGCTGGTAGAATAAATAAAAAGTATAGTTGTTAGGTGGGGGCAGGATAGGCTTCTCTGAAGAAAAGGGTTTTTAGGGATTGGCTAAAAGTGGACAGAGTAGGAGATAGTCAGACAGATTGGTTTAAGGAGTTCTATAGGATGAGAGCGCCTCGAGAGAAGTCCTGGATGCAAGCATAGGAAGAGGTGACAAGGGAGCTAGAGAGATGGAGGTCTTTGGAAGAAGAAAGAGATTGATTTGGTTGGTATTTTGAGACTACGTTAGTGATGTAGCTGGGGACTGATTTGTGGATGGCTTTGTAGGCTGTTGTTAGCATTTTGAATTTATTTTGTTGGGTGAGCAGAAGCCAGTAGAGGGACTGGCAGAGAGGGGTAGCAGACACTGAATGGTTGGTAAGGTGAATGAGCCTGACAGCAGCATTCATGATGGACTGAAGGTGGAATAACCTAAGTAAAGGTAATCCAATTAGGAGAGAGTTGCAGTAGTTAAGACGAGAGATGATCAGGGAGTGAATTTGCAGCTTTGTGGTGTCACTGGTTAGGATAGGGCATATTTTGGAGATGTTGTATAGGTTGAGGTGGCAAGCTTTGGACAGTGATTGGATGTAGGGCTAAAAGGAGAGTTCAGAGTACAGGATTACTCCTAGCACCCTGACATGGGTTGATGGTTAATGATTGATGGTTGCACCATTAACAGAGAAGTCAGGGAAAGGGGCATGTGAGGTAGGAAACATTTTGAGCTATGTTTTGGATAGATTGAGTTTCAGGAAGTGGTGTGACATCCAGACTGATATGTCTGTTAGTAAGTTAGTGATACATGAGGACATTGATGGAGTGAGCTGAAGGGTAGAGAGATTGATTCAGATGTCATTACAATAGAAATGATATTGAAAGCCAGTGGAGGCTTTCAGCTGACCCAGAGAGGAAGTGGTAGATCAAGAATAAGTGAGGTCCAAGAACAGAACCTTGAGGGACCACAACGGAAAAAGGAAGAGGAGAGGAGGAAGCAGAATTGTCAGTATTGCGGAAGGTGTGTGTGGGGTAGTAGGATGAAAACTAGCAAAAAGCCCAACAGAGTTTTTTGAGGAAGAGGGATTGTCACCTGTGTCAAAGGCAACAGAGAGGTCTAGGAGTAGGAGAAAAGAAGAGTGTCCATTGATTTTAGCTGTTAATAGATCATTTGTGAGTTTTGGGAGAGCAGTTTTCTGTGGAATGTTGATGAAATTTAGACTGCAGGGGATCAAAAAGATTATTCTCAGTGAGGTTGTTGCCCATTTGGTTGCAGAGCAGACATTCAAGGAGTTTGGAGCGAAAAGGGAGCAAGGAGATGGGAAATACAGGTGAAACTCGAAAAATTTGAATATTGTGCAAAAGTTCATTTATTTCAGTAATGCAACTTAAAAGGTGAAACTAATATATGAGATAGACTCATTACATGCAAAGCAAGATAGTTCAAGCCGTGATGTGTCATAATTGTGATGATTATGGCTTACAGCTCATGAAAACCCCAAATCCACAATCTCAGAAAATTTGAATATTGTGAAAAGGTGCAATATTTCTAGGCTCAAAGTGTCCCACTCTAATCAGCTAATTAAGCCATAACACCTGCAAAGGGTTCCTGAGCCTTTAAATGGTCTCTCAGTCTGGTTCAGTAGGAATCACAATCATGGGAAATACTGCTGACCTGACAGTTGTGCAGAAAACCATCATTGACACCCTCCATAAGGAGGGAAAGCCTCAAAAGGTAATTGCAAAAGAAGTTGGATGTTCCCAAAGTGCTGTATCAAAGCACATTAATAGAAAGTTATGTGGAAGGGAAAAGTGTGGAAGAAAAAGGTGCACAAGCAGCAGGGATGACCGCAGCCTGGAGAGGATTGTCAGGAAAAGGCCATTTAAAGTACTTTCACAAGGAGTGGACTGAGGCTGGAATCAGTGCATCAAGAGCCACCACACACAGACGTATCCTTGACATGGGCTTCAAATGTTGTATTCCTCTTGTCAAGCCGCTCCTGAACAACAAACAACGTCAGAAGCGTCTTCCCTGGGCTAAAGAAAAACAGACCTGGTATGTTGCTCAGTGGTCCAAAGTCCTCTTTTCTGATGAGAACAACTTTTGCATCTCATTTGGAAACCAAGGACCCAGAGTATGGAGGAAGAATGGAGTGGCACACACTGCAAGATGCTTGAAGTCCAGGGTGAAGTTTCCACAGTCTGTGTTGATTTGGGGAGCTATGTCATCTGCTGGTGTTGGTCCACTGTGCTTCATTAAGTCCAGGGTCAACGCAGCCGTCTACCAGGAGATTTTGGAGCACTTCATGCTTCCTTCTGCAGACGAGCTTTATGGGGATGCTGACTTCATTTTCCAGCAGGACTTGGCACCTGCCCACACTACCAAAAGCACCAAAACCTGATTCAATGACTGTGGGATTACTGTACTTGATTGGCCAGCAAACTTGCCTGGCCTGAACCCCATTGAGAATCTATGGGGCATTGCCAAGAGAAAGATGAGAGACATGAGACCGAACAATGCAGAAGAGCTGAAGGCCGCTATTGAAGCATCCTGGTCTTCCATAACACCTCAGCAGTGCCACAGGCTGATAGCTTCCATGTCACGCCACAATGAGGTAGTAATTGCTGCAAAAGGGGCCCAAATAAAGTTCTGAGTACATATGCATGCTTCTACTTTTCAGAGGTCCAATATGGTTCTATGTACAATCCTTGTTTTATTGATTGCGTATAATATTCAAATTTTCTAAGATTGTGGATTTGGGGTTTTCATGAGCTGTAAGCCATAATCATCAGAATTATGACAAATCACGGCTTGAACTATCTTGCTTTGCATGTAATGAGTCTATCTCATATATTACTTTTACCTTTTAAGTTGCATTACTGAAATAAATGAACTTTTGCACGATATTCTAATTTTTCGAGTTTCACCTGTAGGTTGTTAACCACCTCAGCCCTGGAAGGTTTTACCCCATAACCAGGCCATTTTTTTGCTATTCAGCACTGAGCTACTTTAACTGGCAATTGCGAGGTCATGCAATGATGTACCCAAACAAAATTTAGATACTTTTTTCACACAAATAGAGCTTTCTTTTGGTGGTATTTCACTACCACTGGGTTTTTTATTTTTTGTTATATAAATGAAAAAAATTGCAAGCCTGTGCCCTAAACCTGG